CATGAAAGGGCTCTCCTGTGAAGTCAATCGTAACCACCTCCACAAAGGAACTTCTGCAGCAGCGAGAAAGTCCTGTCGCACAGTGATGAGGTCAACTGTAAAAGATCAGACCAATTGCTGCACAAAGTGAATTTTCCAGTTCATGGTGCTCTTTAGTAACAGAAGAAAGGACATATTGCATCTCATTTAAGCCAGAACCATGTCCTCTTTCTCTCCTACCAAACCCTTCTGCACTTCCTTTTTGCTCATTCCTTCTTCTTCTCCTTCTCCTCTGAACCGTCTGCGAGAGGAGACACAGAACACCACAAACGGATTTTTAGCTGAGCCCTAAAAGTAAGAAACATTATGTAACAGACCCACAGCATTTCACCCATCCAATCCAATCCAATCCAATCTTGCTATCCCCGTCCAGACTGGCAGCTTCATTGTGGGTTGACGTGCTTCTCGGATGTCATTTGTCAAGAAAAGTGAAAACATTTTCTGGTTCCAGCTTTTAAAATGTGAGAATTAGCTGCTCTTCTATGTTTGATATCAGGAGAAGTTGAATCTCTTTGGGTTTGGACCGTTGGTGATGATGTCTGGGAACTTGTTATGGTTTTCACTATTCTCTGACATTTAGAGACTAATTAGATTGCTAGAATAATTGACACAATTCATTGATATAATAACTCCCATAACCCTGTCCTCACTCTTTCCAAAACCTTCCTCACACCCGTGGGCTAAAACTCTATTGGGTCCTCACAAAGACGGAGGGACAAGAGTACACAACACACACAGACTTACCCAGCAGTTTCTTCCAGGATTTAATGAGAGCTTTGGCCAAGGTCTGAACTTCTTCATCTGAACTCTGTTTCCTCACCGCGTTCACCGACATCCCGACTCTGGTCGACTACAGAGAGACAGAGAGAGACAGAGAGAAAAAGACAGAGACAACATTGTAATGTAACATGTAACATTTAGCCGAGAACAGACAAACCAAACACTGGCTCTAGATATCTATTATCACGAGTTTCGCGGCCACCGTAGGTTCTCCTACACACTGGGAACGCGAGGAGTATCCAGTTGGTTGCAATCTGCAACTTCACCGCTAGATGGCACTAAATCCTACACACTGGTCCTTTGAGCTTTTCTATTACACATATCCTTGTATTTGTTTTTACCTTTTTGGTCAGAAATTTTAGTTTTATTAACTTTCCGCTGTGATAGCGCCCCCTAGATTAATACTCTCCAGTGGGCATGCAACTGAAGATGTTAACACTGTAATCTGATTGCTCCAATATCTGTAGGCGGGTACTAAAAATAGCTCATAACATTGCTACAGTACCAACAGCCCCACAGTTAACCAGTTGGGGGTCCGGCATTGTTAGCTGCTGCCTTTTGCTGTTCGTCCCATCGGTAATGTGAGCTCTCCGTACACTTCTCTGTGACTGACTCCACACATTAGTTACTCAGTGTCCTGAATACTGCAGAGTAACAGGCTACAGAGTTGTGAAGTTGGGACTACCTGTGGGTTTGAAAGGATTGGTTATTCGCCGTCACCACATGAAATTGGCTGCCATTTACTATTTACTGCCTTTACTGACTGTTCTTTTAACACTGTTACTGTTACAAATATATCCTACAGAATTTTTTGCTGCCATTGCTGTATTTTTGCACTACCATAAGTAGTGTATATTTTATATTATTGTATATTTTATTGTCTATCTTCATAGTATTAGGAAATGTCTTATCTGTTGTGCCTGTGCACTTTATCTGTTTCACCATGGGAGATTCCTTTGTATGTCTGGTGCATGTGAAGAAACTGACATTAAAGCTGACTTTGACTTGACTTTTTTTGACCACATCTGGACATATGAAAAACAGACAGCTAATGCTAGCTACACCTCCTCCTTTATATAATGGATACATTACGACTTTAACATGTTTTCCTCTTTGGTGTATGTCTATATACTGGACAAAATCTGTAGGTGAAAGTTGGACATCGGTCCAGTTGTACCAGGTGTAAACAGACATGGTGGAGTTGTAATGGAGACACTGGTCTTTAGCTCTAACAGAGACAGTTGAATCACCACCACAGCAGTGCTGGTGCACAGGAGGAGTGCATGCAGCTGCTTGCCTTAGGCAGGGATGTTTTGTTTTCACTGACATGTAGACACATGGATACACAGACACGGGATAAAAAAGAAACAAAGCTGATCCTGTAATTGAATACTAACTCAGATATGAGCTAATATCTGGTGTACTGTGTGCATTTACATTTAGATTTTTGTAGTCCTTCTTTGGTGTTTTTCACCCTGGACCTGAGTTTTGAATCTGGTGCAGTACTGCGTGCAGCCTGCAGTCGCAAAATGGACAACAACCATAATCCTTATGGGTAATTGTGCACCATCAAACATTAAAAGTGATTGCTTTTGCTGTTGACTGGCTCAAATTGTTATTTTAAGTGTCTGACAACACTACCCTACAGAGAATCCACAAATCCACAAATTTAAAGTTCCCCTGCACACATTCTTCTGTCAGAGCCCTGGTCGGAGCCGCTGTAAATCACCTTGGTACTCCCTGACGTCAAAGTAGCCTCCGTTGGTCTCAAAGGCTGCTGATCCCACAGCCCAGGGCCTGAAAACCTCCACCTCCTGGAAGTCCAAAGCTTCTCGGCCACGACCACTAACACTGGCGCCGCTCTAGCCCCCAGTCTGGGCTCTTCAACTAAGAGGACTGCTAGCTGCACAGCTAACTGTGCTAATTAGCTAATGGCAGCCACAGTAAGCGGCGGGTAGCAGTTACTCTGGGGATATTCTGCACCCTATATGCCAATTCATACATGTTGCACAGATTTAGTAGTGGTACTAATGGGCATACTGGTAAGAGTGCTACTACTGGTAACAGCAGTGATAACTAATGAACATCAGGTTGTGTCTGACTGAAGGTGCACATGGCGGTGGCGGTGACATGGGAGAGGGGGTGGAGTTAATTACCTGCAGGGTCTCCAGAGACATCTTGATGTTCTTCAGCTCCCTCAGCAGGTCGAGAGCTCCGTCCTGCAGATAGAATGAAAACCTTTGCATCACTTTCTTACCCAGTAAATGCGGGGGGGGAGGTCAACTCCACAGCGAGCAAACACCCAGCGGTATTTAATCTTTTGTCAACAATGTGTGTCTGATAAACAGGAATGACAATGCATCCGTCTCTGCATAATTTATGTCCACTGGAAAGTTTCAGAGTGACATTTCTTTCAGCGGACATCATTCATTTAACCAATAAAGTCAAGGTGGCATTCTGTATTGCATGTGAAGATTCACGGTTTCTTCCAAACATTCCCACCCACAGCTGGCCAGCTGTCACCCAGACGCCCGAGACAATCATTCAATGTGCACTAAAGGTTACAGAGAGAGTGATGGAAGCACAAGATTGAATTTTTTAAAGTGGAGCTTTTCTCTGGGAGGAGCTCTGGCTCGCCGCTGGTCAGGAGCTTCTCACTTTAATTTATGAGGCTAATGAGAGATCTGGCTTTAGAGAGGAGGGAAGGAGAGAAGTAGAGGCAGCTAAAGAAAGGAAAGACGAGTAACAAACTGTTGTGTCATCCCTGCATATATTCCCAAATTCCCCCACATCTCTGTGCAAACTGTGAGAGCAACAGTCCTCAATGTTTCATTCCACGAAGGTATAAAACAACACTTTACCAAGGCACAGAACAGTTATCGCTCATGTGTAATCACTGAGAATTATCTGTAAGCCAAAATGTCCACTGCTACAGTTAGCATTAAATGGATGTAGACAACACTGTAAAGAGACAGCAAAGAAGTGCAGTCTCTTGGTCACATTCATGTCTGCTGTGCTGGCTAGATCACGCAAATGTTAAGGGGGGGGGGTCATAGAAACCGCAGTGTCACTGATACATCCTACATGCATCTGTAAACCATCACCAGATGTCAGATTTCAGAAAGGTAATGATTTAATACATAGTGTTGTGTCTATGTTCCAACATAGATTGTAAGGTGCTTCAAAAACATGAAAGGAAAATTACTGATGTAAGCCAGAATATTTCCAGTGAATATTTTCAGGAACTTTTCATACAATTCGTTGCCTGCATTTTTTAACAATTATACATGCTTAGTAGGCTTCTGCAGACTTTTCTAAAGCAGGATGAGGCTGTTAAGCAGAGAGTGAAGGCTCTGAGAATATATTTTGTGTTCAGGTTTGGATCTTAAATAATAAGCTAAAAACTTTAAAAATAACAATTTAATTTAGTTTTCTTCACAGAAATGAACACAATTTGGAGATTTAGGCCTACGTTTTCTTACATTGCCCCCATGAAGCTTTGGTGCCCCCTATCAGGGATCCCGACTCTAGAAGGTTGTTTTCAGACTTCCATCTGCTGGAGGAGGAAAGTTTCTCTGAGCTCAATCAATCTGACTTACCTGAGCATCAGTGCCTGAAATGAGTTGGTAGCTTAACTCTCAGAAAACAGCAGTGAAAATGTCCTCGTTAAAACAGGGTCAGGGATTTGTTGTGTTTAGGGTTAGTGTTGAGCTGAATCAGGGTCCTGCAGGGGTGTTTCAAGCATTCCAGCAGCCTAGAGTAGTACTGGCCACCCCAAGTGCCCATTGTCCTTACTTCTTCCGCTCCGCACTGTCTTTCAGAAATACATTTCAGAACTGACATGGGCATTTCCAAAGGGATCCCTTGACCCCTGAAGATATCTGAATGAAAATGGGTTCTATGGGTACCTACGATTCTCCCCTCTGCAGACTCCACTTTATTAGAATCCCATGCAGATTTTGGGCAAAAGCATTTAGTTTTTTTCACGTGGTATAAATGTGTTTTCGCCTAGTGCATTTGAATATTTCTGCAGACTGGGGGGCCTGAACAGTGTTGGAATTGTATAAATTGGGAATGAATGGAAAACTGAGACACATAC